ACAAATGTACAACGTTACGACAAGGTTTTGTCGAAACGTTGTACATTTGTTGTTATATTAAAGTTTTTCTTCATTACCCATTCAAGCCGTCTCCAGCCATTATTTAACTACATAGTGTGCTCTGTTTGTGCCACCAGACACCTAACAATCAAACAAATTCCAATAAACAAACATTTTATGCCACTAGACATTATATTGTGTTCGTATAGTCAATTACAGCATGCTTTACTTTTATTTTTCACAAAGAACAAGTCAAGTAGAAAACAATGTCAACACCAACAGACTCAAGAGCAACGATAAAAAGAATGAAAATCCTCCTGGCAGTTCAGGTTTTCTTTTTACAAATCCTATCTTGCACATTCATCTAAAACTCTTGGTTCATTAAGTGTAACAATGCTGGAACAAACGATGTTCATACTACTTTAAAGGAGATATGACAAAATATGTACACTAAAAGAAACATTACTCTTATTAGGTGGTTAAATGAAACAGAAGTGCACTGTAACTAAAGCTGGGCGACTATTCAAATTTGCCAATCGATTAGTCAATTGGGTTCATTAATCATTTATTCTCACATGAGACTCGAATGTTTGGAATAATTTGAAACACCAATTTTGATTAGCCAATTATTTTCTTTGAATTAATCAATAATAATAATAATGATATATCATAATGGCAATATATTGATTACTTGGATAGTTGAAATAATGAAAACTCATAATCAGAAACACTAACTGATTGCTTGACCGTTTTCATGACAATCTTGATTTAACCATAATTTTGAATATTTTACATAACACTAATCAATGTCAGCAGTGCTGACAGGTAATCAACCATATCGATTAAATGAGTCAACTCTCTGGATACTGGTGGATCAAAGTACATGTCACACCTCTTTATAGCATTACGTTCAAAATTGAATTAAACTACTTCATTATCAATTATGTTAATGATCTTGGCATCAAAATGCAATTTATAATTCAAGTTTTTATATAATATTTTAAATTTAATTTCAAAAGGAAATATTTAAATAAATTCTCAATCTTGACTTGTCTTTGTTAAGTGATGTACTTTTGTCCTGAATTTCCCATTTTAGATTTTCTTTCTACGAGAGTCCAAATAAATTACAGACACGTACTATAGACATTAAAAAAATATCAGAATATAAACTTAGAACCTCCAATCTAATTCTGTCTTTCAAAAAATGTCAATAATTCTCCGACATTTCTATTGGAATATTTATAACCAATAGAAGGAGTAGATTTTTTCTTACAAGATTCCTTATCAGAATTATTTCATCTTAGTGTTAACAGTTAGATAGTTAGCTCCAGTTTTGCCATTTTCAATTGTGTTCAGCTAGTGCAGCAAACAGAATGTTTTAAACCTATTTATAGTTTAGTTAAAAAGGCAGTTAAATTATAGTAGGTTTAGGACATTCTATACTAGTGCGTGATAAAGTTTTTGTGTTATAAAATGCATATTTGAAATAAAAATTAATAATTTTGTGGACTGTTACAAAAAAGTAGGTTGAGTGCCCTGCTCATCAACAACCAAAGACCCGAGTCCAGACGTAAGCACGAAATTTATGAAAATTTGTATTTATTGTTATAAAAGTAGCTAAAATTAGGAGCTTCATACGTTACAAGAAAACATTTCTCTTGAACCTTGATATCCTAGCACCTGCACATTATGTGGCACGGCTGTAATTCCGTCGTTTACATGAAGTCGCTCTGCTGTAACAAAGTTTTCACATACCCTGAGTGTCACACAATACAATTAAATGAAAGCTGATGTGACAGGCTAGCGACTTAAGATTTTAGAACAGAAAAGTGTAACTGACAACACAAAGTCATTCTAGAAAGAAGTAATTTAGAATTGTTTCATATTTTTTAAACTTTTAAATTTACTCTTCATTGCTGATTTTGCTGCAGTTAGTTTTGGGTTTTACTGAAAATAAACTTTTGATATTCATTTAGCTTCTAGAAGTTACGCAGATTAATATGAAAATTGTAAGATGAAATAAAAATCTTCAGTAAAAAATCTAATTTTTCTCGTATACAACCGACCTCTAAGGTTTACTAAAAGTTGCCCAATTTTTTGAAATTCCAATTAGTACATTTAGAGGGATAGCATGTATAGTTTCATGGTTATGAGGTTGGTCAAAATCTAGGAAGTTCATTGCCCAACTCTAATTCAGTCAGTCACCTTTAGAAAGTCGTATTACGCAACCTTCTGGAACAAAATAAGCATTGAGGGTATTACTTAAAAAATATAAATTCTATTCAGTGTACCTGTCATATACGTAATGAATATTGAAAATGCTTTCCATGATAATACAGGTAACTTACCACTTTTTCAGAACTATTTTATCCCATTTAGTTCCAGTTTGAGCTGCTATCAATTTTTTCAAGTCTCCAATAGTGTCATCTGGACTATTTTTTCATTAAGGAAGACTTTTATAAACACATAAATCTACAGCATTTAAAAAAGAAGAACTGTTTTGTAATAATGAAGGTGAATTTTACTACACCGTACTCCACTGAGATGTAAGTTCTTAGAAATACTACAAGGCAAACTTTCAAATATAAAATTAAAACTGTTCTGTTCACTCAACCCTATCATACTAAGCTGATGCCTTATATTATGTTTTAATTAGACACTAGCGAAGACCCACAAAACATTTGAGGTCAAATTAGATTCTTTACTGCAACAGTACAAAAGAATTTAATCACAGAAACTGACATCTGAAAGTCCACTTGTCTTAGGCCTAACATTAGTTAAGCCTTTATCAATACGGCCTATATTCGATAGAGAGATAAATTAACAAATTGTATAAATTTTTTGCTTTAGTTTATTAAGGCTAAACTTAACCGTACTTAATACTACCAATAAATAAACTTATGTTGTTATTCTATGACCTAATGTTAGACTTTTTTAAAAACTTTGATGCATCTGCATGCACATGATTATTTAGATAGTAAGGTGCATGCATATTTTCAGAACAAGAAAAAACTGAGTGGTGCTACTATAGCATGAGGTCTACCTCCCGTTAGTACTACAGCGTGAGGTCTACCGCTGCATTATCCATCCCTCATGGATATCACACATTTCCATACATTTATTTTAGCGATAAACACTTAATTTATACATATCCTAGGAATGACTTAAATAGATAATTGGTTTTCTAATTAAATTTATATTAAAGGGGGTAGGCGACATATGGCGGTAGACCTCACGCTATAGTAGCACCAACCGAGTATTGTTATAATAGATGATCACTGTCATCGAAGGAAATACACTTCTTTGGTTAATCATAAACAAAGAAGCTCAAGGACTAAATAATTTTTTATGCAATGTTAGTTAACAAAGTTATATATTTCATAAGAATTGAATAAAATTAAAGTTTAGTAATCTTAATTTTCTTCTTTTAAATTTAATATCTGTATCCAAATATCCAAAACTTGCATTCCAAAATATATTATCAGACTAAGACATCAACTGTCTAAGTGAAAAAAAAATTCAATCAAATTTTACATTCTTACTGCCAAAACAATAACAATTTTATTTTGATAAATTTACTTTACAATTTTATAAATATATGTCGGCTACAACTTCACCTGGGGTAGAGGAAAGTACTGTATGTCTTACCTTTTAATCGATATGTAAATTGTTTTGAAATTTCTGTTTGTTTTTTTAGTTCAGTTTGAATACAGATCACTGCTAAAGTAAGACACACAGGTTCTCCTTACTTAGCTGTCTATGACTATATTCTTCTATCTGACACTAGGTGTATTTTCTTACAGGAAGGATTGGCAATGGACTTCACTTATGATTCCCAAAATAGACAGCTGTCTTTTCTGTTGGTGAGTTGCATAATGAACTGGAACTTCCCTGCCCATGTTTAAGAATGTGTGGTGAGTGTCATGATCAGCCTGGCTTTGTTGATGTTATTGTATTTTGGTATTTAAAACCAGACTCTTCCCCTTTGAGAAGCTCTAAGATGTTTTGTGCAAATTTAGATTTTACAGCTATTACAGTCTGTAAAACTGTTGTGGAGATTATCCTAGTTTTCAGTTTGACTTTTAGTTTAACTGTGGGGTTCTCATTTAAGATTTTAACTTTCTGTTTATATTTTGTAGTTGTTGTAACAAAAGACTTTTGTTTCATTACCTTTTTTTGTTAATAGACTCACTTATGAGTCTAGAGAGATACAAATTTATACTTTGTAGGGTGACATTCGACAAACTGTCTGTTTAACGAACCCCACCACACACACACACACACCTTTAACTTTTAACCAAGTTTCCTTCAGACGTTAGTTGCACCATCACAAAAATGGTTAAAAGCTCTTTCATCACAAGGTGGCCTTCAATTACAACACATACTAACTTGTACAGTTGAAACTTATAATAAAAGTTGACTACCTACAATTATAACATCTACTAACTTGTACCAAACAGATGAAACTTATAATAAAAGTTGACTATTGTGTTTAACTTAGCAATTGAAAATGTTATAACTTTACTTTTTAACGACTACCACAAAAACACTAAGTCTTGTTTTACAACATTCGCAAGTTTCTTTTTGATAGTAAACATATAATAACAAAAGCTAACCTTCATGTTTTGTGTACATACCGTTTTATTAGCGAAAAATTTCGGCAACTAACCTGAATGGGCTTAAAACGTTTATGGAGAACCCTGCTACGTACACATAAATAGCTGTATGAGTATTTAACTATAAGCAAGTAGCACCACTTTCAAAAG